ACACATAAGAAGTTAGTTCAGCACATAAAACACATAAAATAAGTGAAAACCAAAACAATAAAACATCTTTGAGCACTAATGTTCCTGCAAAAGATCACCCAGTAATAGCACAAAGAGTTATTTTTTGTTTGTTATAAAACACAAAGCTACAAATAAATTATTCATACTATGCCCACCACTAGTATCGAAACTCAATTTTTAGCATTAGAAGCCCTCATACTTACCACTGAGCTATGTAAAAGGAAGCTTTGAGTTACTTGTTTCATTATGTTTGTTGTTAAGCAGAAAGCTACACAAAGGGCTATTTGTGCTGGATTTTTAACATAAAAAGCCTTCAAGACTTCCTGCTGAGCCAACAGTGGGGGGGATACAATATCTAAAACAGAGTTTTGATGTTTCTAAGTAAAAAAAAGTATATAATTTAAGAAAAAATAAAAACGTTTTCAGTGCAATATTAAAGAAGTCTTTGTAAAATAGAGAAATATGAATATTTAATTTAATTGCACTTATACGATTATTTATTTTTAATTAAGTATTGAAAAGTACAAAAAACAGATTTTGAAAATTTAATAGATTTATTCTAAAGTACTAAACGTGCACATTATTATACCCGATATTCTTTTTTCTGTGATTTTGAAACACTGATTCTGAAAAATATATGGTGCAATTAGCTATAACAACTTAACTACATATGTAAATAAGTAATACCTGTTAAATATTTCTACACTAAGAGTAACTATATCATGCATTAGAGAAACATGGTCAAGACAAAGGTTAGCAAAATGAATAAAACATCCACTTATCCAAGAGCTTGGCTGGGAACAGCATATATCTGGTTATCATTATACATTGAATAACATGTTATTCTTACATTGTTTTCAATCAGGATGATTGGTTGGTTATAAGTGAAGAGATATGTCTGGTTACTATGTAAATTATTCAGGAGGATAGTTTGACAAAATTTGTCATACTGCAAATGGAAAAGTATTCTTTAGCTCAACTGGGAAGGATCTACTGAACCATGTGACGATCACTAATAATTACATCAAAAAAGCAGAATATATAATCTGTCAATGAACCAATTAGTTAGCATGAGTTAGTGGTATGAAATTGACCATGAGCTAGCTAGAAGCAAGCCTTAACTCATATCCTTTCCCTGCCTGAGGAACACACTGTGCTTTAAACTGCTATATGACTCAAGGTTTTTACCATAAATAATCTCTTTGTATATAAATCTTTAAATGAAGTAAGAAGATATAAGAACTGTAAACAAAAAAGGTGCTAGCTGAAAACCTTCCAAGGAGGCAACCTCAATTTATGTAAATAATGAGATATAAGTGTGTTAGGCTTGGTCTACATACCAGCCTGTACAATCCCCTCCAACAGATAACACAACCATGCTGCCAGGGACATCGATGTACGATGAATTTGATGAGGTAGACCCAAAAAAGTTTTCATCCCTCCAAGAAAAGCCCAGAGTAAGCAGTACACACCAACTGATGAATCCAGCCTGTCAAAGTGACAGGGGATAAGCCACATAATACCTTAGGATCCCAATGGATAAAAAAATGGTGACATGAACCCTTCAGTGCCTACCACAGAACATCAAAGAGCCCGAACCGGGCATAAAAGACAATCCAGATAAGAGCATTCATAAAATGGAAAATGGTGGGAAAATGAATAGGAAAGCCTTATCCCCTTCCCTAGCTGTTGAAGTTTTGGGAAGATAGGACCAATCAGAATACAAAAGAACATAAGTGGAATATTAAAGAGTCCTGTGAATATGAATATGAAATGAAAACCAGTCCCATTCTGGCTGAAAGCATCTATGCCCAAAACCAGAGGGTGAGGGACAGCAGACAAGAAGGACTTGAAGTGGGCATTCCAGTGAGTGGCAAAAGCAACAAACTGAGGCATCACCAGGTCAGAATACAAATCCAATGAAAAACTTGT